GAGCTCCTAAAGCTCCTGCTATTCCTTGTGTTTGTAAACTGTGGGAGAACAGGCTTTGCTTACTTGGATCTCAAATGACAGCGTATCAGAGAATCCCTGACTCAGAGGAGAGCTGGACAGTCCTCAGGAGGAGCTGGCCTATTTAGATTCAGCTGCTGGTTAAGTCCTGGTCCCACCAACCAGTAGCCACAGTTGTGACCCTCAGTGACACCCATTCAGCTCCATTTACATCTGTTTCTAAAACGCAAAGCTGATTGCATCTCTATCAGGAGGCAGTTTTGATTTAAGAGACAGAGATGTAAGAATGCATAATTTGGTTAATTAGCCTCCATGTCTTTGGAGCTGTGAAAGCCAAAACCCCAAATCCCTCCAGCTGAAACCAAGTGAGGCAAAATCTGTCATTATGGGTTCTACCACAGCAATATATGGTGTTTTCATTCCTTGGTTGTAAGATGATATAAAGTAGCTGCTTATGACTAACCTGACCATACCAGCTATTTACACAGCCAGGAGGCAGAGATAAGGAAAACCGTGTTTTCTACAGGAAGAGTTCTGATCTCTGTTGAGCTGATAAGCTTTGCCATAGGTTGAGGGTAGAAGGAAGATTCCTTTTTGCACCACCCCTGAACAAGGACACCATTAAAGGAAAAATACCTGTCCTCTTTTACAGACATGTCCCGTGCCAAAGTGAAGCCAGTAACTTTCCAGTTAGCTCTCTCAAGAGAGCTCAGGCCAAGCAGTGCCAGGTACCACAGGTATTTAACAGGATAATCCTCTGCTGCCAGTCAAGGACCCATTTCATAGCCTAGGAGGAAAGACTGACCCCTCTCTTCTTCAGGAGTGCAAGAGGATTTGGACAAAAACAACACTGAAGGCACAAAAAGAGAGATCATCCCAGGTACCAGACAACCGTATACATATGTGCAACCTTTAACAACTATTTGGCCTGACCTATGGCAATAAAGACCCTACATGACTTAAAGCTAAATCTGCACCCATTTCCAACATCTCCTCTCAGGTTTTGTCTGATTCCTTCTCTCAGTTTAGCCAGAGAAGCTGCCATGCAATACGTACGTTACTTTACATGGCTCTGAGAGCATCTCTCATCATTTTGCCCTCTCCCTTCTCATCCTAGGACCCATGGCAAACAGCCCCTCCTGCAGTTTTAAAGTCTAGCACAAAGCCCAGTACCACTCACTGCTGCTCACATGCTCCAGGGACACAGGTATTCCTTTTTGGGAGGTATTCTTCCCTCCTGAGTACTTTTTCTCTTTGACCTCAAGCAATCTTAGTGCCTTTGCAAGAGTGCTGGCTGCTGACCATGCCAGCAACAGAAGCACTTAGGGACTTTATCCATGATAAGCCAGGGAAGGCCAAAGGTGCACATGTTTCTAGGAAAAGAAACACAGCACAACTGGGTTCACAGCACCACCATCAAGCACACAGCCAGGAGCATAGGCTTAAAGCCAAGGGCTTTATATAGAACCACAAAAACTTCCAAGGACGCTCACCACTTCCCTGATAGCAGCTGTGCGGCCACTCCTTGCTACAGGAAAGTCAGGAGGCACGTGAGCACTGGCACAGGCTCATGGCTGATTTACAGCCCAGAGACCTCCATGTCAGTGGCTGGGACACCTCAGAGGATGGCATCAGACCTTGCACTCTGAGCCTACAACCAAGTTTGAGCTTGCCTCTTGTCACTGGGAGGAGGATGTGGATACCGCCAGGAATGGAGAGGCTCCATGCATGGGCTTGGCAGTCCTCCCCACAGCTCCTCGGCCCTCGGAGCGGCCGCAGAGCTGCTCCTGACGTCAGCCAGGAAGCACAGGTTTTGAAGCAGCTTGTGTCCGTGTTGCTGTACCCGATGAGCTGCCTTGCCAGTTGGCTCCGAACAGACAGGCTTTCAGCAAACACACTCGTCCTTTTCGCCTCCTGCCAAAAAGGCCAGCAGCCAGGATGTACATGTCAGCTTTCTGGAGCTCGCAAGCTTTAGGAAACAAGGAGATTCAGTAATCATGTTTTAAGTGTGCAGGAGCCACCCCTGCAACGGTAGCACCAGCAATGGGTCTGTGCAGTTTAAAGCAGCTCAGCTAAGGAGCACTCAAAGACTCGCCATTCCTCAGACTCTGTCCTTGCCCAGTGAGACCCTCACAGTGGCATCCTGCCCCTGCAGTTCGAGGGTTAAATCAATACAGATTAGAGCAGCAGCTAAAGATCTTCTGGGAACCATTTTCACCAGCCCATACTTCAGGGACCCTCTGCCAGATTTGCCCATGGGCTGAAGAAGTGGCAGTGAGGACTGTGACTGCTCAGCGGGACTGCCAGAAACACCAACATATCAGCCCCTCCCCCAAAATGTGCCTGATGGCACACGCGGGTGATACCAAAACCAGTGGGCCGTGGCCATTAATCGTGGTTCCAAATGAGCCCTCTCCTTACTTTGATCTTGACTCTCCTACTTGCCCTCTTCCTCTGAATGTCTTGGGAATAAGATTTGATCAAAATTGTGAAAAATGGGAGGCTTCTTCCTTCTTCCCTTGCACCCCCCCTCAACCATCAGCTGCTCCCTCCCTTACAGGTAACTCTGAAAAATAAGAGCAGAGCTGCCGGGGAGGAAAACTGATCTTTCTGAGAGAGGAGGGGGAAAAGTCTCCATTGTGCAATGGTTGAGCTGGAGCAGAGCATTCAGGAGCGACAAAGGGACACCTGCAGCTAAACCCCAGGAACGAGGCCTCCCTCCGGTTATGTCAGCCGGTGCCCATGACGTTGTATAACCGTGTGCATGGCTGGTCCATAAATAGCTCCTCTGAGCAGCACCGGAATATCCTTCCCGCCTGGGTCGCTAACAGGAGCTGGGGGCAGGAAGTAATGCAAGGCAACACGATTTAAGCAACGTGGCCCTGCTCACACTGCTCAAGTGTCCCTGATGACTGCCCAGCCCAGCGCAGAGGACGGGCAGGTCGGTAGCGAAGGGAGACAAAATCTCCTGCCTGCAGGTTTTGCAGCTTTCATGCTGGAGGCTACACGTGTGTGGGGCCTGGAGGGATGCTGGAAACAGATGTTGCTGCAACGTTAGAGGAAATCCTCCCTTTAAGCAAGGGTATTAGCACGCACTTCTGCATCACGCTTTGCCGGCACATTCCTCCCATCCACACATTTTAAAGGCGCAGTGCCTGCAAAGCACCTATCTAGAAATCCCAGTGTTTATCCAATAACTCACTCCAATATTTAATTTAAGGAAAAGCTACAAATTGACTAGGCATCCTCTGTCCAAGCCCCAAGATTCACCCCTGGTGCCACCCCTCATTTCTGGGTGAGGCAGGAATAATTCATCAGGCTGCTGATCGCTGCCCTTCCTCGCAAAGCCAGGTCACGTGGGAACAGAGGGACACAAGCCAGCTTTGCCTCTGGCCCCTTCCTTTTGGGCACAGCAAGTCTCAGGCATCCCATGCTCCTCTCTCAAGTCCATTTTTCATGGGATGATTTCTTTGAGAGCCGAGAAGATGGCCCTTGAAGTTCACCACAGAACACAGGACCTAAAGCTGAGCTGTTTTTCTTGCCTGTGCTTTGACTACATATTAGCCAAAACCAAGCAAAACAAAGCTTTAAGAAGAGGAAACAAAAGTCTAAACAGTCTCTCCCTTCATCACGTGACATCTATTTATTTTTCAGGCATCTAGAGCATCTTTCAGAGAATGAGATACTTCTTACGTAAATAGGCAGCAAGCACATCACCTACTTTCTGTGTTTGTTTCTTTCTAAACATTCACATATTTTATAACTGAGAACATCACGGAAAGGGTTCTTCTCCAAGCCTCTTTTAAAAATCAGTAAGCAAGGGACTGTGAATTTCAAGAACTGCCCAGAGATGCAACAAAACAACATTAATTTCCTCCTTCACCTCAGTGCAGTTCGCGGTCCTCGGTTACTGCTTTTCTGGGGTCCACACAGAACAAGATGCTGGAAAAAGGAAACAATCCCCCCCCAAAAAGTAAAAGTATCTCACCAACAGTGTGCTTTCCATAGAGAAGCTGCTCCAAGATCGCAGTCTTTCCCACTGAGGCCATTCCACAAACCACCACCTTGTAGCCCTTCCCCATCTTTCCCAAGAGGGCAGAGTCAGCAGGTGAGCCCTGTGCAGACACGGGAGCCCGTCAGCCCTGCACGGTGGCAGAAGCGAAGCCCCCGAAAAGTGAGAGGCAAAATGCGAAGCAGTGGGCAACTCAGAGGCACAGCTCCCTCCCAGGCGCTCACCCAGCGACTGATATTTTTAGGACTAGAGCTTCCTCCCACACCATTTTTTTGAAGGTTTTAGGCTGCTGCCATCAGTGCTGATGCTTGCCCGCGGCCTCGACGCTTGTCCTGTCAGGCTGTTTGCAAGCGCTGAAGTGTGTAAACCCTGCGAGAGAGGTGCTGTGCTTGTCAGCGTGTGTGCTTGTCAGCGTGTGTGTGTCTCTGTGTGTGTGTGTGTGTGTGTGTGTGTGTGTGTGTGTGTGTTTGTGCCGCAAGAGTTGTGTTATCAGGCTCCAAGATTTTGCTGCGGGCCTGACAGTACCTGGTGGCATCAGGGTGGCTTCTGGACATGTGACAAAAGGGCACCCTTTTACGTCACATGTGGCAAGTTTCTAGCTTTTATGGATTAGAAGCTAGAAATCAGGAGTGTTAAAGGCAGAAGCACAGGAAAGCAAATGCAAAAGCAGGTTTGTGGCCTGTTTTTAAATTGCTTTGGATGGGCAGGGGTTGGTTTTAGCAGGAGGCTGCCAGCAGCCGGGGCAGTTCCCTGTGCCAGTGAGCTATGGCAGGGCAGCAGGCCCTCATCCTCCCCCCACTTTCTGAAGCAGTTTGCCACAGTGAAGGCCAACGGGTACCTTTTTAGGACCAGGAGGGGCTGGCGCTGTCCTGCTGCGATTCCAGTTTAACCAGGTGACGCTTCACAAGCCAGGGGTGCTCTGCAAAGCACACACTGAAAAGAGGGAAGGTGATTCCACAGTCATAGGAGACCAGGGGGGAACCCTGGGGCCAGGAAAGCCTAAGTCTCCTTTGGGTTCCCCTTTGGATTCCCTGGCAGAGCCCAACACTGCCACGGCAGCACCCTGGGGAGGCTCTTGGGAGCCAGATGGGAGCAGAGACACACAGAAGTCCCCTCAGCACCAGGCCCCTTCCCTACTTCTGCAGATTCACCCCTCTGGGTGCAGGGGAGGCACGGAGGGACGGGAGCA